GTTTCATACTCAGTATATTCAGGAGTTTTGAGATTTATTACACTATTGATTTAGCATTTCTTTCAGTTTGATGCTTGTGTATCCATGAGTTAGTCTTCCGCTTGTAGTCAGCCAAGATGAGGGTTCGATTGGAGGCCAGCAATGGCTCTCGAGTGTCGGTCACGTCAAGGGTGTAGGCTCGGGTCGTGACAACTGTTCTCTAACGCCACACATATTTTTCTTTTGTCGTTCACTTTTACTTGTTTTTAATGTTCACTTTGCACATTCTTTAAGAACTTAAGAATGAATGATTTGAAAAATGATATAGAATGAATAATTAGTGTTAACCGTAATAATATAAAAAAAATTGTATTTCTCTTGATAATGCTTAAGTGAACAACTAAAAGAAAAATATTTTAAAATGAATAGTTAATACTAAAAGTAAAATAAAATTTATTTTCATCTTTCTCTTGATATGATAAAAATAGATAAATACAAATGCAACTTTATTTTTAATATAATAAATAAATAAAGTTAATTCATTAAAAATAAACGGAGCTAAAAATGTGACATGACATTTTTAAAAAAAAACCCTTTTTTAGTAATATGAAAAAAGTAATAATTTTTTAATTGGATAATGACTTAAAAGAGTTGAGCAATTTATTGTAAAAAAAAAAGGAATATAATTTGAATAAATTAGGAATAGTTAAGCGATATTATAGTCCTAAAAGAAACAAAAATAATATTTCTAGGCAAAATTTCAAACATGAATGACTATCTAAAAAAATTGCTCCTAAATTTTTCATAATAAAAAGTATACACAATAATGTATCTTTAATGTGGTTTTGTGAAAGAAATATTAGTAAGAATCTATTATTACCAAGGTTGGAGTTTCATTACGGAGGAAGACTCATCTTGGGCCAACTTAGGTAAACATTAAAAATCTTAAATAAATTACGTAATGTAACTTTATGAGTTGCAGTGTAATTATCTCTTTTAGTTCATGTTTTCCATTTAAACTGATTTAAACATTATCAATATATTTGGTAGGGGTGTTTAAAACCGAATCGAATTAAATCGAAAATCGAGCCAAATCGAGAAAAATAATCCGACTAGTGGTTGGTTTGACTTGGTTTGGTATTGGAAAAAAAATCCGATTATTTTTGGATTGGTTTGGTTTTAACTAAAAAAAAACAACCCGAGACCAAACCAACCCGACATTATATATATAATTTTAAATTTTTATTTTATACATAAAAATATTTACTTTGATATAATTTTTAAATATTTCTTATACTTTTTCATAGTTTTTATCTTTTAATTTATTATTTCACGTTTGAAACTTAGAATTCTGAATGGTTCAATAAAGATTATAGTCCACAGATGTTGGTAATTATAATAAAGCTTAAAATCAAAATTAAATTAATATTAATGCAAAAAAAAAATCAATTCAACACTAAGAATGACAATAATATTGAATATTTGTTCTTTGATTTTACATTGGTTTAGACAATTCAAATACATAATCTAATTTTAATTTCCTTCAATATTTAGTCATGTAACTAATACTTATTAAACTTATTTTAGCATGATTTAGTACTTTTAAATTATGATAATTTTCATTATGACTTGTTAATTTGCAATATTTGTTTTACGCAATTTCATTATTATTATTTTTTTGTTGGATATTTTAGTGTCATTACTCATATCATAATTTGTGTTATTCTCTTAAGAAACACCTTAGATAGTTGTATTTTGGTAGGACTAAAGAAATATTTGAAGTACAAGTAAATTATATGTTTGTATGAATACTTTACCGGAAAAACTCAAAGATCCAAAAAACCCGAAAAATTCGAAAAAACCCGAGGTTGAAAAACCCGAGTTTGATTGGTTTATAGATTTAAAAATCCAACACAAATGATTTGGTTTGATATTTGAAAAACTCGAACTTACCCGGTCATGTACAACCCTAATACTTGGCATTAAAAAAATAAACTAAATTATACATAAGTTAGTAATAAACATACTAATTTCCTCTCTAAATTAAAGTTTTCCTTCTGCTCCAAATTACAAAGTTGAGCAATATTTACCCCTATTCCCTAATTTATGTAATGTAATATAATATTTTGTGGACATATTTTTTATGAGGAATTTATTTGAATTCTCTATATAATCATTTTCTAAATAAAGATAGAATCCATATTTTAGATGGTGAAGAAATAAATAATATTAATCATCTCGTGTTAAGATATAAATATAGTAACTTAATATTTATATGGGTATTCAAATTAAGATATATTAATTTTAATAAATACAATCTCCCTTAACACTATTAAAGATGTCAATAAATATAATGTAAAAGCTTACCATGCAGGTGTATCTTCCTTATTTATGTTTAGTTGGTCATAAATCATAATGGAAGTAAATAATTTATGTTTAGAACAAATCTTAAACCCTAATTAAGTAAGCAATAGGAATATTTAGCTACTTTATGCATCCATGGAGCATCAACCTCCTCAACCGGTAATGATTTGTTATTTTTCTCCATCAGATTATTTCCACAATTTTATTTATTGCTTTGATGTAGGAAAATTGTTCTTTTTGCAGGATTGTATAATAAAAATAGAGGCCATCGGTTGTTGTGAAAATTGTGCCGAAAGAGTGAGGAAAAAAATTGTTCGACTGGAAGGTATGTACTTCTACCCTTGATACGGAGTTTTAGAAAAATTATACTAATTTCTATCGTTGTGTATCTCTTGCTTGTCTAATATCTAATGAAATTTTGTGTACAAAATGATTTGATTTTACATACCTAATTGACTTTTGAATAATATTAAGGGATCCAGTAGAACAACTCATTTTACCACTTTCAATAAAAAAAACAACTCTTTGGGGTGCTTTCTTATTGTCCCTTTTTTTCCTTACTGTGTCGGTGGGAGAAGTTAATCTCAAGTTGAAAATAAAATTTGAGATTTTGAATATAACCTAAGGCCTAAGGGACTTGTCCCATCGGCTGGATCAGTAACATTTTTATTTACCCTTTAGGAGGGCTCAACCTCTCGATCTACAGATTGATTATGGATGTACTCAACCATTTAAATAAGTTTTGTCCATTATATTTAGTTTTAAATACTGAGTAACATTATTTTCTCAATATCTAGATAATTATTTATTTCTATTATCTCCATTGTTTCAATTTTTACGTGAACATTTTTTAGTATGTTTTTCAAGAAGAATGTCACTTTTTATATTTTGTAATTGTATAGTAATTCTTTAGCTTGAACATACCACATGTTACGTTTAACACAACAAGATTTAAAGATATTTTGACACATTTTTAAGACTACATAATGATTTTTTTTTAAATTTTAAACTTTGTGCTCAGTCAAACTAAAACACATAAAATTAAATAAAAAAAGTAAAAAATTAAAAGTCAAATAAAATAATTATTTAAGCATTTGATTCCACAAAATATGAATCGTCAGGTGATAGTTGGTGGTGGATAGTAAGGGTGGTATTGTGGTAGAATTGATGGATAGCTATAACAGTGGTTGTGATTATAGAGGTGGTGACTATGATAGTTGAGGTGATTGGTGATAGTACCTGATGGTGTTGGTGGTGGGTGGTAGAGGTGGTGAGCAGTAATAGTGGTTGACAATGATGATAATTGTGATGGTGAAACTTATCGGTATCTTAATATATGACTAGTAGGGATGGCTCACAGAGTAGGTGAATGTAATGGTAGAGGTATTTGGTAGTTATGTTGATGGTTGTAATGGTAAAGGTAATGGTGATTGTGGCGAAAAAGAGTGATGACAACTGTTGCTGGGGTGGTGATAGTTAACAATGATGGTAGTACCTATTTGACAATTGTGATTGTGGACAGAGTAGTGATGGAGAGATAGTCTATATAGTAGTGCGTGCAGAGTCAAAATTTTCAATAGGTGCAACCAAATACCGTAAATGACATGGAAAGTAGAAAATATTTGATAAAATATCATTAGCTTTCGTCTTCAATAAAATTCATTTTTTCATATGGATGTAGTTTGTTAACTCATATTTTGTTTTGTTGATAGGTGTGGATTCAGTTGAGATAGATAGAGAAAAGAGATGGGTATATATAGGAGGGGATGTAGAACCTCAGTTACTCGTTGACTACCTTACTCAGCGAACAGTGAAACCTAACAGTGTAAAACTTATATACTATTGTTCCAAGGAAGCAACAACTCATCATGCCAAGAACCAAACTCCAATGGAGAATAATAGTCATGTCAAGGAAACTTATTGTCATATGCCTAGTGATGATCATGCCAAGAATAACGAAAAAAGAGAAGGTGAAAATTACAATCAACATCATACAAGGGGAGACTACGATCCAAATCATTATGCACCACGTAAAGATTGGGTCCATAAACCTGAAAATTACGTAGCACAGCCACAGCCACAAAAACAAGATCAATATCATACATCTTCTGAATGCAGGAATCCATCTTGTGATTTTCATGCTTGGAAGAGACAAGGTAGCACTAGTCGTTTTGATTTTGACATGCGTTCTACTAGTGCGCGGTGGTTGAGAGAGGCGCCACCACTTTTTTATGGATACAATGAGCCTATTATGCGGCCACCGGGACAATTTCCTTATATATGATGTGAGTGTTGTTAGAAAAATGATGAGGTCTTTTCAATAACTTATATGTAGTCATGGATAGTAGTAGTTTGTTGCTGATAGGACTTGAGAGTTGGAAAAATGTTTAGTGTTATCTAGTGTGCTACCAAGTTAAAATGTTACAAATTACTGCAACACCTCCATTTGAAATTGGCTTTCTATTGTTATATCTTCACATATACATTAAGATTAAAAAAAAAGAAGATTTGCTTTTGCTTTCAATTAGTTTTACTTACTATATGTTTAAGATTTATTATTAATGTCAAATTTTGCAGTAAATAGTGTAGTAATAATACTGCAATTTCACCTTCACACACATTGGAAGGGAGGGAGTATATTCTAAAGAGATGAACAATTAGTTAAAGAATTTTTCATCTTTATATTTTGGACTATATCACAATCATATACTGAATTTGGTGCAAGTTCTTGAATTACATCACAAATAGCGGTCATACCTCAACAGTGATTAATCCATTCCCAAAGCACATGTAAAATTGATACTAATATCCAGAACAGCTCTGCCACCTTCTTGTGAAGGAAAATCTAATGGTAGTTGTTCAGTGCAAGACAAGTAGGCTGTCGTGTAAATCAAGTAAAGTTGTTATGTGCTTGTTTTCGATAAAATGATCTGCTACACCACTATGTGTGGCGCCAAAGTTAACCTTCCTTCCACAGATCACAACCACCCTTTACCCCAACAGCACTTCCAAGGCGGCTAAAATCACTGGGCTACAACACCTTATTATGTCAAGGGTGTTCAGAATATGTTATTTAATCACTTTGTATATCATTTTACTTATATATACGCTATTATTTTTCGATGAATTGGACACCCTTGCTATAACATAGCTATGCCCCTGGATCTCACATTTCAGGTCATGAAGTACAATACTGAACGAGTGAATCTTTTCTGATACATATGGAATAGACGTGTCCATGATTTATATGCAGTCATCTTTTTGAAACACCTGACCTATCCATGACTAAAAATCTGAATGATATAGACAGACTAAGCTTGAATGTGTTACAAAGAGGACATTCAGGCTTCTCATTATATTGCAGGAATGTGTGAAGTGGATTAAATTTTTTGCGGATTAAGCTCAACCCGCCCCACCCTATTGTCATCCTTAAATTTTTTGAGAGAATTGCACTCTCCCACCAGTACCAATAATCGAGTACTTGCATTCTCCCACCCGTACAACACCAGATTACTGCGCACGCAAATGGGAAGAAATCTTAACTAGTCAAAAATTGATTGGAAAGGCCAAGATAACAATACGAGGTAAAAAAGAATTACCTCATTCTGGTAAGCTACAACGACTCTTGTACCTGAAGAACAACAACTTTAAGATTTCAGAAAGATAATATTTAGTTACGTAATGAAGCTAAGCACAGAAGGGTAATAAGAGAGACCGACAAGCTTCATAGACTAAGGAGACGTACTGGTCATCTTTCTCGGCTGCCCTCATAATCTCCAGCTGCGCCGCCAGCGGACCAATCCCATGGTTCAGAATTTAGATAGGGTATTGGTCGACAAGTTCAATGTTTGATCATTTGCTCAACTTACATCGTAGTTCAATTTGAATTTGAACTAAACGATAAATGATGAGCTAGCATATAATTGTTGCCCACTCATCTATATCAGTCATCAACCAATTTCTATTTGGTCTTGATCAGATTGAGAATGATAAAAATTGTGAGTTAATATGTCACAAAATAAAACTAATCCATACAATAAATTAGGATTTTTTTTTGACAACCAAGTTGCATTTACCTAAAGGACCAAATTCACCCATTAAACAACTGTCGAGGAATGGAAACAACTCGATTTGAATTCGTCCACTTTCTCTTTCAACAAACAAAAAGAAAAATAGGGGGAAGAAACAATGAAAAGATGTATGAACTGTACGTTGATTTGAAGGGGAAAAATATACTTCAACCCAATCAACTATTATTTTTATTCTACTTTTAACATATCAAGAAAACACAATTAACTGTTTTCATGTTTTATCCTTAGTAATAAATATTTTTTTTCAATTAATAGGGATAGTATGATATAAAACACTTATATCAATAATTATTTTCTTAATAGATATGTCAAGTCAAATAGTGACATCTGACAAGTAAAAATGAACGGAGAGAGTAATCTTTATTTTCATTATTATTCAAAATTTATTATTATATAACAATAAAAAAAATATAATTTTATGTGACGATCAATCTAATGTAATTACGTTGTTGCCTTACTTTTTTCATTTTGCTTTTACTTATTATTTAATAACTTTATTTTTCAATTTCACCCACTTCTTATAATTATAATAACTCCACCATACCATACCCAATGAAACCTCTTGATTCCATAATTTTAATATTATGATATTTAATATGTCTTGGTATGCTCTTTTTTTTTTCTTTTCATATTTGATATTTATATTTAAAAACTATTAAAAATCTCATGCAAAATATATAATTACATATATAATACTGACACTTATATAATTTATATAAACTAATATAAGTACATTAACACTAATTGTTAGATGTTGAATCTCTGAGTACTTTATCTTGATTTTTTTTTTTTAATTTTATGTAATTAATTAACGAAGGAAATTGCTTGTACTTTCTTTTGAATATCTCTACATGTTTAAAATGTTAACATAATATAATTAAAATGTTTCTTAAAAAGTCAGAGTCATAATTTCTAGTGCATAATTATATGTAAATGGAAGTAAAACAAGTTATAATTATCAATTACAATACAACAAAATACTGAAACCGAACTTAAGAATATCAAACCATACCAAATTTAATTTGATATTGAAATAATATAATATTTTTATAAACTAAAAATTAAAATTATCTTATAAAATTTTCAATATAATACCATGCAAAAACCTAATACCCTACCTTTTTTTAGTAATATTATTAGCTTGTTCTTGATCATTATATTCATTATATTAATGTTCTCTTAGTTTCATATTAGATGGGTACTTTTTACTTTGCATAGTAATTAAGATCAATTTTACTGTTTTTCTCTTTGATCAAATCAAAGCACATAAAACTAAGTTAGAAAAAGAATACATAAAGTATAGATATAGCTAATATTGAGAATTGTTTACCTTACAAATGTCATATTAATTGTAGAGATAAAACAAGAAAAGTTTAATTAACTATATCTTGTTTTAGTAAATGATCAAGTAATATGAGATAATTATTTTTAATAAAATGTCCATTTAATATGGACGGAGAGAGTACAATACAATGTAATTATGATATATAGTAAATTGATATGTAAAAACCATCTCATTATAACCTGTTCACGTAAACCAGTTTCAAACAAGTTTTGGATCATAACTTGTTCACATAAACCAATTTCAAAACAAGTAAATGGCCCTGACAAAGTATCTCTACAATCTAGAGATCTGGTTTCATGGTTAAAACTAGATTCAAATTCAACACCGAACAAAATTGATTAAATAAATTAAGTTTTTATTTGATTTTGATTTTGGTTTAATTTAAGTTTTAATAAATCAATAATATTTATTTTGTTTGATTTTATTGAAAACAAGTAGAATAAAAAATTGAAACAAATTAATATAATGTATTAATTTTATAAATAATTATAAATACTTCATATATTTTTTGATAAAATTTTATTTATCTCTAAAATGAACTTACACCTTAAACCCATTCATTAAAAGAAACAAACTATGACATTTATCTATATATATTTTTATCAACTTTATTCACTTGATTAAAGCTTATAGATATTAAGAAATTCTCCATATTCCAAAAAAGACTATAATCACTACAATAAAAGGTTAATAACGGATTATAAGTTGAAAATTTCTTCTGGTTGTTGAAAAAATATATATATCATTATGTTCTTAAAAACCAGCCAAACACGCTATCAACACCTACTATTAAATATTGGTATTATTATAAAAGTAAGTTCAGCCACTCTTGACACAATTTTTTTTGACAAAAATATGCCCAGCTAAAACATAAAACAACTTCAACAATCAATGCTAAATTTCAAAGTTTTGATAAGGGAAATCCGAACACACTGTTAAGAGTTTGAAGGTCTCTTGCAAGTGAAAATCTGGCATTGTATACTGGAGTTCAAAACTCTTATCGTGAAACGCCAACACACACTGTTGAAATCCCCACCTCCATTTTCTAAAGAGAAAACTACAGTCCAGAATTTTTGATTCATCTGGAGTGTTAGATAGTGTATTTTAAAATACATACATATACTTAAATTTATACACCATATATAAACAAGTGTATATGTAAAATAAATATATTTGATAGTACCCTATATATCCCTTTTGAAAAAATATATTCTAGTGCAGCTTTTATAACGAGGCTTATTCAAACTCCTGGACAAAACAAATTGAACTCTGAAGTCCTCGAGTTCAAAAGATGTTCGAGAGCGAACAAAACCTTTTCACATGATACCTCTTTTGAACTCCAAATCACAATCATGAAGAGTGACAACGTAAATATTTCTCTATCTCACTAATAATACCTATTTCAAACTCTATCATGAAAATTTATAGAGTTCAAATTCCATAAATTGTTCATGAAAATTTAAAAACCAACCACTTATCAAAATTTACTAGCCATCCACCTAATTTTATCAAGTATTCGATAGCCTACACAACGAATGAGAGCCCATTGCTTTCTCTTTTTGGGGTATGGGATTACGAGGGTTTTGTGGGGGTGTCTTTGTCCTTAATAATTTTTATTTTTTTATGGCGAAGATAAACAAAACTGTGCCATTAAATCGTTGGGGGAGGTGTCCCCAAGAAGCAATTGGAGTGGCTTGTAGAGCTATCAATATAGGTATATGCTCAGTCCATCAGTAGAAATTTAAGGAGTTAGCTTGGACTGACCTATTATTTTGGTAAAAGCCAGAAAAGGTTAAGCTCAATGCACCACAACGTGGATTACACGCCACGTCGTGGCAGGCTAGTCCACTGTTTTAAGAAAAATATTTATTTTTTATTTAAATTTTAATCTTAAAATGTTAAGATAAATATCTACAAGATGAAGATGTTACTATACAAGTTTCTTGAGTACAACTATATAAGAAAATGATAGTGAACATAAAATCTATGTGAAACAAAATAACTTTTAACATAATATATACTTACTTAAACCAAGTAGAGACATTAATAAAGCAAACTAAACAATTAAAGAATAACAATATAATAAATTGAAATATTAACTTGTAATATTTACATATGATGATTTAAGTAAACGTAGAGTTTGAGTTATTCTTGTTATTTACTTATTTTTACTGTTCTACTTTATTTATTTTTTACTTAACCCATAAGCCGGCCTAACCAGCTTGCTCAAGCTCCACTAACCAGTAAACTTATTCAGATTAGGCTAAAAAGCTTTGTTCTTAAATTATTTTCAATAATCTTAGCCCAATCTTATTAAATTGCGAGTTGGATCGATCCGGTGTACAAACTTACCCCGTATCAACAACTCTAGTGGCTTGAAATCAAGCAAAGCTCAGATACTCTTGAGCAAGCTTGGACTAATCGATCTGTATGTCTAAGCTCCTGATGTATGAGAGTTAAATACCACAAATTTTTACCCTGATTAAGTAATAAATTCCAGCCAGAGAATATACTTGAATACATTAATTGTATTAAAAACACATGTAACATATTTACTTAATTGATTATTGTAAACATGGGATGCATGATTAAGTTTTCCCCCAAAGATTAGTTGGTTACAGTTGCCTCTTCCTCCCACTAATATGGTCTCAACCTACCTAACAATAACTCAATAACTCTCTTTGAAACACTAACAACAAATGTACTTGTATGTGGTACACTGCACAAGCAACGTACGTGGATGACATTGATAGCACGACAATAAAGTCTCACAGGACATGTGCATGCATGCAACAAACACAGTTACTTAGATATCCGTAAAAATTAAGATCATCTTTTTTTTTAATGATTGAGGAATTTGTGCCAACTTCTTCACCACTCGATTAATTCTACATAATATTTGCCACCTCCCATCCGTAACAAGTATCAGATAACTCTATCCAGTAAAATTGAAACAAATAAAACCTAGTAGTTTTTTTATCTCCACTAAATTTTAAATCTAAGACCTCAAAATTTTCAATCACATGGCCACGCCTTAGTGAAAATTAGGGAGATTTGTGTCAGACAACATGCATGCAGTATTGTCGGACCAGTGAGATATCACGACTTCGAAAAAGTCTCAAGTTGATATGAATTTAACATTTCTTTCTGAGCTTTAATTCCTAACAATCTGACCCTTTATTTTACCTATTGTTATTATAAACGCATTTCATGAATTGTATCTTAATACAGGTCATAACCACCATTTCTGGTAACTATTTACTTAATTTTGATGTTCTACTTTATTATTTATTTATTTGGCCCACAAACTAGTCCAACCCACATTGCTCAAGCCCTCAAACCAGCAAACGTACTTAGGTCTAGGCTAAAAAGCTTTGTTCTTAAATATTTCAATAATTTTAGCTCAACCCTATGAAAATCACAAGTTAGATCGAGCTAGCCCAAAAAACCTAGCTCGTTTCAACAGCTCTAGTGGCTTGGAATCAAGCAAAGCTCAGGTACTCTTGAGCAAGCCTGGAATAATCTATCTGTATATCTAAGCTCCTGAAGTATGAGAGATAAATACCACAAATAAGTCCCGCCCTTCCTGAATCATGCACCATATGTCACATATCGTATCAAAAAGAGACATTAGGAGAAACACACGTCACACTCAATATTACATCAAAATTATATTTCTTTACCCTGATTAAGTAATAAATTCTAGTGTGAATATACTTGAATACATTAAATGTATTAAAAGCACATGTTGTTTACTTAATTAACTAGGGTAAAGATGTGGTTAAGTTTTTCCCCAAACATTAGTTGGTCACAGTTGCCTCTTCGTCCTACTTAATATGGTCTCAACCTAAATACTGACAGCAAATGTACTTGTATGTGTACACCGTACAAGCAACTACGTGGATGACATAGATAGCACGACAATAATGTCTCACAGACCGCGTCCATGCATGCAAGAACCCACAGTTTCTTAGATATCCGTAAAAATTCGGGAGACATGCTTTTCATGACAATTTTCACATACCTTGACTAATTAATTCTACAGGATATTTGTCACCTTTGTATCAAGTAATTGTCTATCAAAACTAAAGACAAGACAGATAAAAGGAATCACCTAATGTTTTTCATCTCTGCTAAATTTTGAACCTACAATCTCAGAATTTTCAATCACTTTATTGACTACTAGGCCAAAAAGTTAAAGAGATTTGTGTCAAACGACATGCATGTAGTATTGTCGGGGAACTGAGATATCATGACTTTGAGTAAGGGCTTACGTTGATATGAATTTAATATTTCTTTTACTTTCAGATATATATGTTAAGTTGTGATGGGGTGATGGCTTAAACTAAAAAAAAAAAGATAAATATGTTGTGAGCTTTAATTCGTAACAATCTAACCCTTTATCTTAGCTTAAAACGCTCAATTTCATGCACTGTATCTTCATACAGGTCATATCCACCATTTAGAACTTATTTTGGTGACTTTGGTTGGAACCGGAGGAGTTCAGAGAAGTTTCTGAAACACCATCTTGCCATTTTGGAAGGTTAAAGAATAAATTAGCAAACGGTTGATTCAATGCAGGTAAAGGTGGTCCCTTTGGACGGTCTGTTACAACACAAATGCCACTAGTACTTTTAGATGATTGATCATGTGTATTGTCAGTGCACAAATTTGGAAGTGAGTATTTTCAGTAAGTCCTTACAAGTACTTCGTTGGGGATAGTATGACATTTACATGGAAGGTTTTAAAAATCTAAGACACTTGTGCACCGAGTTGTCCGGGATAGTGAAATCATGAAAGGTTCTATATATCTGAGATACTTTGTGCATCGCATTGTCCTTGGATAGTGAAATCATGCAATGTTCTATAAATCTGAGATACTTTGTGCATCGAGTTTCCCTTGGGTAGTGAAAGGTTCTACAAATCTCAAATATTTTGTGCACCAAATTGCCCTTGGATAGTGAAATTATGGAAGGTGAAACACACCTGAAATACTTTGTGCACAAGTTGCCCTTGGGTAGTGAAATCATGGAAGGTTCTACAAACCTGAGATACTTTGTGCATCAAGTTACCCTTTCCCTTTGATAGTGAAATCATTAAAGGTTCTACAAGCACTTATGCATCTCTACATCTCACGAACATATCGCAAGATAACTTTATTGTAATTTATGTCATCATACTATTTTAGTTTATTTTTAAGAGTATCTTGGTAATTATCATTTTATGCATGTGTTGATCGATCTAGTTGGCTGCTAGACGGATGTGATAGGCTTTCCAAATTAAGTGAATAGGACTTAATTGCAGTAAGCATTAGAAAGCCTATTCTAGATCCATGTTAGAGAACATACCTCAAATCAGCTTCCATACCTGTGTCCAAAACGATGGTTGGGCAGCATATAAAATGATCCAAAATACTATTTGTAACCAGATGGCTTCTGGTTAAAACCTTTGTCTAGCAGCCAGACCTCACACTAAAGAAGTGAAGAGGATTACAGTTACGTAAATGAACAGGGTTAGTCATGATGTACTTTCCAAAAGCCGGTTACTCTACAGATATGTATCAACAAAGCCAACCATTCTACAGATCTGTACCAACAAAGCAAACAGATTGCAAATTAGATCCTAAAATACCTATGTATTTTATAAGTTGCAGAGATCTACATATTTCCATCGTCTATTGGGATATAAAAGACCATATACCAATACTACAACAATGCCAAGCTGATACAAGGTACATATTCAAAAGGAAACAGGAAGCTGATTGTTCACCTACACTGATGTATGTGCAACTTCAGTTACAAGTTCACATTCATCACTCTCAATGATCTCTCTTTCGCTTGTGATGATAACCATCTCTGCAATCTTCATAAGAGCCGCTTTTCTTGTTGTCACGAACCTCATCGGTGGAGAGTCTTGCATGGTGCCTGGAGTTCTTTGCATCATGCCCAAAACTCCTCCTCTCTTTGGATCGTGCCATCTGATGCACAGGTGTAGTAGGTTCTAGTGCAGAACTTGGGATATGCTTATGATGAGAGTCTCTTTCATGACGCTTTCTTGAGTCCCGAAAATGGTGCTGATGAATTTCTCTCCTATGCCTATCAGAACTACTAGGAAAACCATCATTAGACCTGTCAGAGTGACGAGTCACCTTGTCTCTACTAGCAGATGAGGAATGATGACTTTTCTCCCTTCTTTTCTCAACATTGAGCTGCTTTCTGTGTGTTTTGCGAGCAAAGCGATCCTCAGAACAATTTGTACCTGGTTCCCTCTCCTTGTGGAACTTTCCTGTTGCTTCTCGATTGTCCTTTGGGAAATGCTCCTTAAAGTTAGACTCAGCTTGACAATATTGCCCACTGTACAAGGGTAGTTTTAATTAAAATCATAGTTTAATCAGAAATACATGAAAAAGAAAGTAACTAAAAGAAAACTATACAAGGATGAGAAGGTGGAGGCAGGATACAGGCAAAAGAAAAATGACAAGTACTGAAATAAAAAACTCACTGATGTTGTGTTCTAAATTCTCAACTTATTCCAGAGAAGGACAAAGGAAATAGCAAAGTTTTTCAAAGGAAAGCGTGAATAATTATCTGGCATACAATATGTTGTGCCAAAAATATTGAGGGGCACAGGGAAAGCACTAGAATACTTGGACAGATATTAATGTGGTAAAGGAGAACCTTGTAATATACTTTGAAGGAAAAGAAATGCACCTTTTTACTTCAGCTGGAAAGCAATCAAGAGTAAAAATGTATTGTGGTTTAGACACAAGGACAGATGTCAATGAATTTAATATCCTATAACACTCAAATGTGGAGTTAAGTTTGTTAAGGATCAAAACCCGACTTCGGAAAAAGTAGCAATTTTTTAAAATCATATATTTACCCGTTGTCAAACCTGCTGTAACTCAAAGTGTGGCGTCTGACAAGAAGACAAATCAATAATTGGAGCCATAATCAGCAAAAACAAGGCAGATACTTAAGAGCAACGAAAGGAGAGAGATATTGACTTTTATAGATATTTCATGTTAATCTTGAATTCAGCAATTGCATAAAACAATTTACACATAAAAGTACTAAGAGACAAGACGTTCACGAAATATATTTGGTCAGATGATCCCATTGTTGCTTGCACTATGTTCAGATGATCCCATTGTTTCTTGCACTCAGTGTTTGAGTGCTCAGACAAAGGAAAAGGATGCATGCTAACATGAATCGGCAACTACTTACGAATGTGATAATTCAGAATTTGAGACGATAGAAAAGGAGAGGCCGGAGGGACTAATTTAACCATTTAGCTAAAGATGACAAACTGCATCACATCCACTCCAAATAATGCATTACGTCAAGCTAACATCCAAAAGCAATCAATGCGAGATAAGATTTGGAAGACTATTTCCTGTTTTAGATATTGCAAGAACAAATAAACCCGTGTCGATTGCATTCTACTATTGATTTATATAGCTAAAATTACCTTCCCATATTTTCATTCTGAATTCTCCTGTTATCTTCAGCAAGCTGGGCGCCCATGTACTCATATTGGTTCAATGGGAGATCATCTCTGTTTCCAGCTGGAAGTGCCATACCATCCATTCTCATGATTTCTCTGCGAGAAGTTTCCAAGGTCGCAAATTCATTTGCATCAATTTGAATTTTACATGATAAAGGACACTCATCTATAGATAAACGGCGTCGAGAAATCATTGAGCTACAAAGGCTAATCAAACGAAGAACTGACTTACCCACGTAGAGGCATGCCAGCATGCATAGATGGCATATAAGGAGGAACATAAGCAGGTGCCGGGGGAACCATACCAGCATTAAATGAAGCATTTCCAGCATTATCATACATATTTGCGAATGGCTGTGGTGTGGAATACGTATTGTTATTCCAGTAAGGTGATGAATAGGCTGGAAATCCTCCTGTAAGCATGAGGTTTCCTGATTCAAGCACAGCCAAAGCAAAAACATTACACATAACGCTCTGCCTACAAAGTGAATTAACCAAACAAAAGGTCTACCTGTTTGAAGCATTGGATTTGGATTGGAAGCAAGAGCACAGACTCTGTTGACATGGTCAGGAGAACCATACACGTAACAATTAGGGTCCTAAGAACCAAAAACCACCGTCAGTTTATGCCTATAGGTCCAACACCACAACATGACTAAGTAAATACTTATCATTTTTCTTTCCCACTCAGTATTAATGATCGTATATCTTTCTGTTGCGATCTATCTTGGTATCACTGATCACATAGACCAAAAATTGTTGTATAACTCCAACATAGCCAGGATAAGAAGGTAATGCTTTTTTTTAAAAAAAAAAAATTCATTAAGCTAAAAAACATAAGTTAAAGTTATCCAGCCAAAGAGGGGTTCTTTAAAGAAAGACAAACTAAAGGGAGAATTATAAATGTGATTATGTGAAAATCTGAATTGAGGAAAGATGTGTGATGTTTACTCTAAACCAAACAAAGGATCTTACACACTTAGGGTGAAGTTCATAAGAATGCAGACATATAAAGGTATAGCTCATCTCAAAGTCCCAAGATATGGACATGATAATGAACGCCTTAGTACTACTGCAAATGTTTCTGATGATTCATCACATAATTTACACTTCAAGGCATCTCAATGTCCTGCGCCTTTAGAGTTATAATATATTTGAATGCATGTACATGCACAGTAAATAATTTGTTCATGTTTGTAAAATGTCAAGCCCAAGCAATAAATGTGCATCCAACTATTTTCAAAATCACCAACGGTGCATCATTTATCAGAGTCAAATATTGCAATAAATGACACAATTTAGGAGCATATTCTCACTCATTTAGGAATTTTCAATAGCATATTTCTTACCTAAAACGAAGTGTTCTTCACATATAAAAGAAAGATCAGATTTTCGAGAAAGAACATTTCCTTCTCATATTTTCTTATCCTCACTTTTGTATAATAAACATTGCTTACACCCATATAGAGATATTTAGCTTGAATATACCCCTGACAGAAGGGTAATTTAGCCTGGATTCCAGGTTGCATGTCAGGGGTTACCCTAAAAAACAATAAAATGGTACTAAGCATGCTGACAAAAGTGGTACCGTACCTCCATAATACCAGCAGGCGGAAAATTCATGTTCCCACCTGCATCAAGACATGATTTCTGGTCAGTAATAAAAGATCTGTTATTAATGAGCAAAAACCAGAATTAAGCTATCAAAAGTTCATGATATTAATTCATAATGCCAGTGGCACATGTAAAGAGCCAGTTAAAGCAGTAAATCCTACCTCTTGTGTCACAGCACAGGCCTGTATTCTTCTTGATGGAAGAATCTGCAATCAAATAGTCAGTGAGTAACTACAGCAAAACCACTATATAAACAAAGAATAACCCAGTAGACAAAGCAAATATGAGGAGTGCAAAAAGTAATACAAATCTCAACCTTTTAGCAAGCAGTGATATAGCTTGTTTTAGTCAAGAGAAAATCAATTTGAACAGTATTTAGTTCATTTTTACATTTTTTTGTCACAACATAACAGGTAAGGACAAAAACCTAAAACATCCAATGCTCTAGAACATGGCAAAAAAGTTACTGAACATAACTAGATAAAAGAATAGATAATGGGTTCAATCAAATTTAGATTCAAATCTATGTAAGATACCGATTGCAAAAGAAAATCAAATATCTTGAGTAATGATTACAAACCAAAGTTAATTTTGGTTACAAATGCAGAAGAAATAGCTAGGAAAAATGGTCAGTTATGAGCTAATACCTTCATCTTGATCATGGGAATGAAGCAAATTAAGAGGCTTGCTTTCAGCCTCAAAATATTCTGGGTCATCATGCATACTTGGAAAATTCCAATGATTAGCATATTGACCTCTTCCTCCATCTATTTGTTGCATTATCTTGGACAACACTTTTTTCCCAACAGGTGGGTCTACCATAACTTGATTGGATCCTTTTCCAGTAGCTGAGGGTGAATGAGGCATCTCTGGTTCCCGTTGCGCAACAGTTACAGCACAACAAATATCCTTCACCTGATTGCCAGATTCACCATCTGCACCGAGAAACAAGTCAGTCACACCTCATTCACTACCAGTCTCTATTCAAGATTCACAATTCTCATGTAGCAATCATTTTCACCTGGAACATGTCTGCGTAAAGCATTTTCTGACTCAGTTGCAAGAAAATGCTCAATTGTTTGCCTGAGAGATATATTTGGTAGCAGATCTTCCACTCTACATCTGCTAGAAGAGCATTTTGGGCACTTCGCCTTTTCTAGAAGAACCAGACGAATGCCTGCAGATACATTCATCCAGAAAAAGTAGAAGTATATTCTCAATGCTCAAATCATTATTATCCAAGAACACAATATGCTCAAAAAGAGATTTGGTAAGTAATGACAAATGCAAAGAGTGAATACAATACTCATGAAACATGCATTTCAGAAGAAACAAATGCATAATGGAAGCAAGCACAGATGAATAGACAAAATTGCTCAATAATGTATATACTACTCACATTTCTCACAAAAACTGTGCTGGCAGCAAGGTATCATCACAGCATCCTTAGAGAAGATATTACACAGAGGGCATTTCAGTTCGTCCGGTAAAACATTATTGCGAAAAGCTGGAAAGTTGGAGCGTATCACCCTTCAACCATAAGACAACAAACATCAGCATGCTTATGGGCTAAAAGGAATGACTAAAATAGAAGATAGATAATGCAATACTTGTGCAATGTCCGCGCATCAGGAGTTTTTAGTTCAGGTAACTTTGTTGGGATCTTGCTATGGTTAGAACCTGAGATAAACATTCATGATTCAACCATTTTTTTTCAAATGAGAAGAAAAAAGACAAAACAAGACACCTTCCAAGAGATACACGACAATAAGACCAACCTCTTTGGATTGCCTGATTTAAGCCTCTTGAATCAAGATTTTGATACTGAAACCTGGATGTATCAAGGAGAATCACATTAGTCACACCAACCGTGTATTCATGCAAACATTATTTAGCATGATCCCATTGACAAGATTAGGATGTCCAGGTGCCACCCTCAGAGTAGGATGCTCTCTTACAACTAATATTTGTACACATTTTCTATACTGGAGAAATTGTTTGGGGTGCAATAAAATCTAACTTACTTACCAAAAGAGAAGGTTAAGAATCTTGAATGAGCCATTACCTAATATGTAAAACGCTTATGGAATATGAAGCTGTAACTTGTTGTGTCTAAAATAAAACTTAAGGAGGTATGGTTCTGTAGGTTTTACACCAATACTCTTTAACATTTTACTAGAAATGTTAGTTTTACGACATCAAGTTTGAATCCGAACCAACTCTTTTTTTGGGTTCAAACAATAAGGGAAATTCAAATGTATCGAACAGTACAGCTACCAAGAAAAGATTCATAAGAATTATACTTTTTTTTCCTGAAACTTGAGTCATGCAGAAATCGCTAATCAGACACTATATAGAAAGACAATGATTAGGATCACCAAATATAGTGCCTCAATCACTATTTTACCATTTTCATAAGTGTAAAGCACAATCTGCGTTTACTAGAGAATAGTGAATCATGGTATATATTATACATTCTATGTAGGCTTTTGAGTTTGTTTCATGTTAAGAATATTTTTCAGAAATAGTACTAGGAAGAATATACTTTGGAATAATTTCAGGGTCATACGTCAATAAAGTGGGCAAGAGTGTTTTAGGAAGAAAACACTTTGGAATAATTTCAGGGTCATATATCAATAAAGTGGGCAAGAGTGTTTTGTTTTTGTAAGTCAAAATTTTCATCAAGAAACACTAACTGGTATCAAAAGTTTGTATATGTTGGTCATAAGACTTGACTCGAGTCATACATAGGTATCTATGAAGTTTAGAGGAAGAAAAGTCGTAAACTAATCTCTTTTTACTTTTTTTCACCTAACTTATAAAAGAGGAACACACAAAACTATATATGCCAAATATTGAGGAGCAAAGGGTTCCTCTTTGGCATGCCTGGGGCTTCAATTAAACTGCTCACATTCCCTATCCTCTCCAATGTTCAAATGGCCTACGGGACAAACATTCAGCTTATACAAGCTGCCTAAGATAAAAATACAATATTCTATTTGGTCACTCAGCTTGATTAACCCAGAATAAATCATATCTTTCGGGATCTTGAAGTATTGGTAAAATTATCATTCTGCTGCTGGAAACAAGAAAAAAACATAAATTTAACAAAGTGTATATACTTGTAGGAAATTCTTAAGAGTGTGCAATGTAACACATTGATTTAACAAGCTACCATTCTTCTTCCTTTTCAGTTCAACATTATTTAATTATAAAGCATAAGTAATCCACTGACTAGCACTTACTTATTCAGTGTGGCTAAAATAGTACACAGAAGCATATATGTGAAGCATTAGTTTTCCAAGCTGCTTCTATTTAATTCTTTCTAATACATTTTCCTGGTGGTGAATTAGGGGGGTGGCTAATCTTTAGTAATGTTACTAAATGAACCAGAGGTATACTCTTTTGCTGAAGAGAAACTTACTCCAAATTATTAAAGAGAAAGTCAGAAATAATATACCTTGGACCTGAGAGGTACTCTTTCTCAAAGTCCCAGTAGTTCTGCTGATCAAATCCCTCAGCCAGCGGAAAAAAGTCAGCCCCAAAGTCATGAAACTCATTGACTTGCGCATCCTGTAACATATGCAGTATATTAGACAACTCGTGCACAATAAATTTTGGGTTTCTAAGTGACTATCTACAAAGGAAAAAAGTAACAGATACCATGAGTGTGGCAAGTAAAAATGGTAACCACACTTACCACCTGATTCATACGATCAACATCTTTCAACCCTAAATCCTTCATGGTACCAATTGGTGGCCTGTTACCGTGCCAAATCATATGAGAGACTTCAGAAAGCAGAAACAAACTTAAATGACAGATCATTATTAAAGCACCTCAGTATCTAGACAAATACATTGTTCCGCGAAGCATAAGAATCATGACTGACACCATAGTGCTCCAACTAAAATAATTAACAATAAATGTCATGATAACAATACAAAGCCCATCCAATATTAAACATCAATTTTCTTTTATACAGTTCACAAGCTAATTTAATCTCATACAATACATCCAAGTTAGTCATTGCATTGAAAACCTCACAACACACTTTTACAGCAAAAAATGAGAGAATTTAAGTTATAAAAGGAATTCAATCGACCTAATACCTAATAAGACATATAGTAGTAAAAGTTCTCAAAAGGATTTTGCATTTGCAAATAGTAAGAACTCACTTAACAGTTGAGGGAGTCGTTCCAGCAGGAACTCTCCTGATAATTACACTTGACCCACTCGCAATCTGAATACTTTCTTCATTATATACTGCAACCACAAGCACAAGAAATGTAGATCGAAATCAGACTTTGTGTAAATCCCAGTGGATTGTAAGATACAAAACACACACATGAAAACACATAAATAGAAATGCAGATATATCTTTTACTCTAATCAGCATATAAAAATTATAACGTCACTAAATTTCAGGAAACTTCTTTCTCTATCTCTATATATAGATATATATCAACCTATCTATCTCAATCAATCAATCAAACAATCTACACATAGATACACACATTAAAAATACATTTCAACACTAAAATAAAAATGTATGAACATATACACACTACCTATACATAGATATATATAGCTGTGAATTAATAAAAAAAAGTTCAGAAACATATATGTATATCCACACAGACACTTACACATGTGTAGGTTCACCAGAAGCAACCGGTGTGCATAAAAATGGTAGGAGAAACAAAAACAGAAGGAAAAAAAAATTGACTGACCTTCTCCGGAGAGGGCATCGGAGAAAATGAGATCGAAATCCTGCCCAATGTTGAGCTTTTTCAGGCGGGCGATCTTCAACATCAGTTCTCCTAAAGATATAGAGGTCCGGCCATCTATATCAACAGAATCGAAGTTTAAACAGCTTCTGAATTTGAAGCGAATCGACATTTTTTCTGTGAACCAAACCAGCCCCAATTCAATCGATTGTAAAATCCTATCTGTATATATATGTGTAGAGAGAGAGAGCGATTGATTCGAGGGAAGGAAGAGGGCTAAAATGAGTAACGGAAGTTGAAAACACAAAATACACAAATCAGCCCCTTTTATATGAGTCCTGAAAAAAGAGAAGAGGGGTCACGTGTTACCGGCATGTTTATTACGTGTATTCAAGTATTAAGACAAATGGAACAACAAAAGCATGCATCCACACTGTTTAAACGGTGCCGTTTGGGTTAAAACCCAAAATAGTATATTGTAGGCTTATACTCTCTGGTTTTTCTATAAAAGATTTATTATATTTACTCAAGGAGCCCCTCAACTTGTACAAATATATTTTCATCCTAATTGTAAGTTGTAACGGTTTGACCGATGATTTTTGACTAAAAATATAAAAGGAAAATTGCATTAATGAACAGCTAAAAACATTAAAATTAAAATACCACTTTAATTTTTTTCTTTAAGAAGTTGATATCTATATTAACTTTCTTGTACTAAATTTCAATGATCAATTTATGAGTGAAATGAAATTTTTTCTAATTGTAACTGTTGAATTTTAACTAAGGATTTAAAGGTAAAATACATTAATTAAAACATGAAAATAGTAAAATTTTAATACCACAATAAAAATAAGAAAAATTGCAGAAATCCCACCTTTTAGTTTACTTATTACCATTATCCCCTGTAAATTTTACAAATCTCCAAAATTCCTCATTTTCGCGCATCAGATTAGTGTATTTCGCGCATCAAATTAGTGTATCTCACGCATCAGATAGTGTATCATGTATAAAATGTACATCATATTAGTGTATCTCGCGCATCAGATAGTGTATCATGTATAAAATGTACATCATATTAGTGTATCTCGCGCATCAGATAGTGTATCATGTATAAAATGTACATCATATTAGTGTATCTCGCGCATCAGATAGTGTATCATGTATAAAATGTACATCATATTAGTGTATCTCGCGCATCAGATAGTGTATCATGTATAAAATGTACATCATATTAGTGTATCTCGCGCATCAGATAGTGTATCATGTATAAAATGTACATCATATTAGTGTATCTCGCGCATCAGATAGTGTATCATGTATAAAATGTACATCATATTAGTGTATCTCGCGCATCAGATAGTGTATCATGTATAAAATGTACATCATATTAGTGTATCTCGCGCATCAGATAGTGTATCATGTATAAAATGTACATCATATTAGTGTATCTCGCGCATCAGATAGTGTATCATGTATAAAATGTACATCATATTAGTGTATCTCGCGCATCAGATAGTGTATCATGTATAAAATGTACATCATATTAGTGTATCTCGCGCATCAGATAGTGTATCATGTATAAAATGTACATCATATTAGTGTATCTCGCGCATCAGATAGTGTATCATGTATAAAAT